GTCTGTTGTAGTGAAGGGAAAATGGAGCTGTAAGACAAAGCTCTCTGTTTACCCTCACCTTGTCACAAATCACGTCCATTAGTTTACATTTTCTGTCACCCTGATCACCTTTTAAAGTTTGCAATAGATCTATCCTGTAAGTTTCATTTATTCTGTCTGCTCCTGTAGTGTTTATTTATACATGTGCGTTTTAGTATGTCTTCTTTGCATGCTGGTAGAGGGCGACATCACGGTTTGTTTATTTTTGTCTTCACAGCAGCCAGTATCATCTGATTAGACCTCAACTGGCTGCACCTGTCACTCTCACCCTATATAAGCTTCACTCTTTCTCCTCTTCGGTGCCCGGTAGTTGAAAACTGTTTTTCTGCAAGTAGATACCTTGCGTTCATGATCCTGTTTTTTTTTCCCTCTAGCCATAGTGTTTCCCTGTCATAGTTTACCTGTTCTCCTGGTTTCTGTCCCACTCCTGGTTCCTGTCCTTACCTCTCGGCTCAACCTCCCGGCTCCTGGACCCACGACTCACCTGGACATCGTCTCTCGCTGGACCCCTTGGATTATTAAGCCCTCTGTCTTCAGTTCTGACCTTCGCCTGCATGACTACACCTCTTTGTCTACTCCTCCGGTCCCTTCAGTCATCTGCTCTTTGGTTTTGGACCCTGGCTCGTTGGACCACGACTCTGCACCTGACGGACTCATCACCTGCCTGTCGCTGCGGCCAGCTGCAGCCCCTCACCGGATTCAGCTCCTCCAGCAGCAGTAAAGATCAGTTTGGACTTCTTCAGTCTCCAGAACCCTCAAGATCATCTGAGACGGTTAGTGGTCCTCCTTTTTTGACTTTTCTGCTCCCCATAGTCTCCTGCACGACCACTAACCGATCCCTGTCTCATAGACTGGTCCCTGATTCAGAACCAGTACCAGTACCAGAACCGGCCCAATCTGCAATATTTCACCTAGAAAATAAATATAATTAAATTTTTATTTTGTGTGGTGATTTTGGTCCAAACATAAGGGGGTTCATTACACACCTATGGTCACAAGCTCTGGGTAGTGACCGAAAGAATGAGAATGGTGGTTAAAATGAGTTTCCTCCTCAGGGTAGCTGGACTTGCCCTTAGAGACATGGTGAGAAGTTCAGTTATCCGGGAGAGACTCAGAGTAGAACCACTACTCTTCCACACTGAGCTGAGCCAGTTGAGGTGGTTCAGGCATCTTGTAAGGATGCTCACTGGGCGCCTCCCTAGGGAAGTGCTTCGGGCATGTCTGACTGGGGGGAGACCCTGGGGAAGACCCAGGACACACTGGAGAGACTATGTCTGTTGGTTGGCCTGGGAACTCCTTGGGGTACCCCCAGAAGATCTAGAAGGGGTGGCTGTGGAAAAAGATGTCTGGGCCTCACTGCTCAAGCTGCTGCCCCTGTCACTCAACTTTGGAAAAAGCAGAAAATAATGGATGGATAGATCATTGGTAGGCAGACTGAGTTGTAAATTTCTGACAGATAATCTACTGTATACAATAGAATCCCCTCTTTGACAGAAATATCTGTCATTTCAGGGTTGTTGTTTTTTCAAAACAATTCAGTCATAATTTATTTTTAAAATAAACACTTTGTGTCAGGAATCAGTTTTTAGGATTTGTAAACTCAGCCGAACAACAAGAAGGTTTAATTTTTTTTTTATTAATTTGCAACTGCTGGTGGGAGTCAGGATCCAGAGGCAGGAACAAAACTTCTCAGGCAGGCATGGAGATTTACACCTGTCAAAGCTTGTGTAGATGATGTCACCATAGATGGTGGAGACACAGCTGCAGAGGTACGCTGCAATAGCAATGAGTGGGGGGAGGGGGGTATCCAAAGATGGGCTTCTTTAGGAGAGGCAGAGTCTTTAAACAGGTCCAAAGGGTGATCCAAAATCCAGAGTCCAGGGGCCAGAAGCAAAGGTCATCATCAGGATCAGAGGAGCAGAATGAGGGCAGACAAGAGGCAGGCAAAGAAGCAAATCCAGAAAAGCAGGCGTGGGGTCAAGACAGGAGTTTCAGACAAGATCAATGAAGAGCTGGACATCTATAACCAAAAGGATTAGATAATCTGGCAAGGAGCAGTGAAACAAGAGTTCTTAAATAGGGCAGACAACAGGTGCAGCACATGAGGCTGATTGAGCTGTAGGTGAAGTGGGTGTGGCTGAGAGGCAGAGCTTGAGTGGAACATGACTGAGCAAAAAATGACATGAAGGAGGCAGAAACATAACACTTTGTTAGCAATGCCAGTTATTATGACAGGGCTATACAACCCAGTCTGCCTTACATATGTGTTCAGTTAAACAAATCAAGGAGATAAACCTTTGAAAAAATCAGAAATTACAATTTTCCATCAGGGAGGTGATCCTGTTACATACTGTAGATCTTTGTTTACATAGACTAAACAGGATCCCTTCTCTGACAGATGGTGTAAAATTTGTAAATTTACATTTTACATATGTTTCTCTCACAGATCTATTTTCTGATTAAAAAATCTAGTATAATTAGATTTAAATAAACACTTGAACATGTTATAAAATATTAGTATCTTTACTAAATGAATACACAAACCAGTAGTTATGTTTTCATTTATGCCAATTGTTCATCTTTTGATGCCCCATGCAGTGACTTGTCAATCAACTGGGATTGCACCTGGGGTGGCTAGTCAGGTTTCAGGGTTGGAAAGTGCCACCCCAACAATTCCTCTGGCTATGCACTTTATTATTAAACATTAAACAGCAACAAAGTGATTAAAATGGAAGTAATTTTAGGTCAAAGTAAGAAACACATTGTTTGGTTGTTAAAACATTCCTCAGAGTTTTTGCATCATTGTGCTCTGAGATCATCTGTACATATCATTTGATCGTGGTTTTATGCAGTACAGTAAAATAACAGTTTTATTACTGAAAAACAAAACTTCAAACAGACCTGAACATTGTTTTGTCTAATATTTCTCAGCAAAAGTTCAGGTTAAATGTGTGATAGAGAAATTTTAGAAATGTTTGTGAAACAAATATTTATTTTTAGGTCAAGTACTTTAAACAGATTTGCTAGTACCTATAAAAACTATTTATCTTTGCAAAGTAGTCAAGTTAGTTTGCTACAATGGACTCAAGCATATCTTGGGTCTGATCTACGAGGAGACCCATGGCGTGTTTAAGGTCTTTCTGGAGAACGTGATCCATGATGCACTTACACCAACACAGCAAAGCACAATATAATTACATAATTATATTCACATAATTACAGCACAAGACAATCACTTTAAAGAAAAGCCACCTAAAGTTTGGGTCCTGACTCAAGGGAGGACAAATAACTGTCAAGGTGTCACAAACATTGTACAACGTTTAAGATTAGTTTGTCAGGGATTTTTTTTGTCAAAGTTTATAGATGTTTTAATTATTATGGCTGAGAACATTCGTCCCCTCTGCCCTGAGAACAAGAAGCTCAAAACAAGTCAAGCCATCTTCCAAAACTATCTTATCTCTGCCCATGAACCATACTGTGTAAACAATGAGTGCTGTGTAAGAGGACTGCAGCTGTCTGCAAGTACTGCCCCTGAAATTGTTGAACTCTGTGACTGGAAGGTCGCCAGTTCGGCTCCCCGGATCGAAAACATCAAAATGTGGGTGGAAAAGATGAAACACCCACACTTGCATCCATCCTCCATTCCTCCATTCCCTGGCAATGGAGGATGGGTGTACCAAAGAGACCATCTTATCACAAGCAGAACTGGTTTGTTCCACTTTGTAATAAGCTGCTGGGGAAAGAATCTGTTTTATTGCGTGTTTCCTTGACTGATGAAGCCTTCCGGACTGAAGGCGAAATGTTTCAGCACAAAAAAAGAAACTGTCCAGATGACCTGACTGAAAAATGTTGGATTGTATACCTGGATTATTGAGCATGGACTTTGTTGTTACAGTACATTATATTTCATCATGTTCCAGTTTTTTAGAGCAGGAGCTATCTGGTCCTCCGAACAAATTTTTCAAGGGCACACTTCAAAGGGTCAACAAAAACCAGCAGGAGACACAGATTTGCAAAAAATATCTATATTATTTACAAAAACTAAAATAATTTTAGTTTTTGGGTCCATAAAAGTGGTCATCATAGAAAACCATATGTTTTAACTCATGAATCAAAACAGGAAACTCATAAATAGTGGCTGATATGGCCATTTTACTTTAAGGGGTAAAGGGAGGAATTTAATAAAAGAAATTATCAAAAATGTTAGAAACAAAACCGATCACAGTGGTGTTGAATAGTAAGTGAAAGAAAAATATTCATGATATCAAGTTTATCTAGTTAAAGACACAAGAATCAACATCTTCTCCCTTATCTGACTTGTAACATACAGTAGTATAACCCACTTAGTCTACGAGGTCCAGATGTGATGCAGCTAGAGCTTTTTCAAACGACTTACAGGGCACCACCAAAGCAATTTGTATCTCAGATAAAATAAAACATCAAATCATTGCAATTTACAAAATACACTGCAGCAAGATTTGACAAAGAAAATTATCCAGATGATTTAAAAAATAAAATAAAATAAATAAGGTTGCACATATTTAATATCAAGAAACAAAATCATGAGGTAAAAAAACTAATTTACCATCACAGCCTTTGTTCTCTGTTCAGATGTATAAGGAAACGAAAGAAAAGCAACATCTACAGTAAGTACAATTTTAGTTCCTTTTTCTTAACTGAACACTTTCTTACTGGCATAAAATGCATCAAAATGCTTAGTTTTAGGCAATACATTGTATTACATGGGTAAATTAGTTTATTCATTTCAAAACACAAAAAAACAAGAATATGCCATAAATTACACAACTAGTTACAACAATAATAACTGATGGTGGTTTCTTTAAGGGGGTCTCGTTTTATGTTTGATAATACTTTAACCAGTACTCCTAGTGGTTAAAAGAGCCTAGAGGGAGTTGTAGAGGTATAGATAACACTTTTAGAAAAGGGAGGTGACCAAAATCTCAATCATCAAGTAGTTCACTTGGCCTTCTGTAGCCAAAAAGTCTAAAGTCTTGTTCATAAAGCTCATACAGCCTCCTCCTGTCCTCCACAGACACCGTCCTGAACCAGCTCAGTACAGAATCAGGAGTGGTTGTGTTTTCATAAACTGGTGGAAAATTAATGCTGTCCTCCAGTTTTAGCATCTTCAGCAACATTTGGGCGTCATCCTTAAGAGTTTCCTGATTACCAATAAAATCATACCTGAAAAGAAAGCACAAACTTTCATACTTTGATTTGTTTTAATGTGGTGAATAGTTTTGTCTTTGAAGATCATGATGGACTCACTCTATGAGACAGGGGTGACACAGGCGGTACATCTGCCTCCAGTGAGGCTCATAGGGTTCCTTCTTCTCTGTTTGTGGGTCCACTAAATACTGAATGAAGTTGTAGAATGAGGGACGAACGCCCAACTTATGTGCGAGCTTCACATTAAATGGCATATACGACTGCTTGTTGTATAGACGCATGACGGTTTTAACATAACCATAGAAAGATGGATCTTCTCCAAGGAACTTGTCTCGGTAAGCAGAGATGAGACGGATAAATGGGTCTCGAACAAACAGGAACTTGGTGTATTGACTTAGCTTCACCTGCAGAGCAAATAAACACACATCAGTTGTCTATTTAGAATTTTCAGATCAAAACTAATATAAATGGATAAACTGACCTTTATTTCCATTTTTGAAAAGTCACTCAGGTGAGTAAATTTGACTTTTTCATGAATGAACTCAGAATCTATTGAAAGAGGGTCAGGATATGGCTCACTTTGGTTCAGGACAAACATAACTCTTTTCCAGTTGGTACATGCCACCTGCAGACAAGATACATGTCACGCTCAGCTGCCCCTGCTGCCCCCACATCTGTTCAAGCCTCTGCTCCTCATACCACAGCCCCTGTTTTAAGATCATTCATGTTTTTTCCTGCTTCAGTTTTGAGTTCCCCTCTCATTCATTCAGCTCCTGTCACTCTGGCCACTCTCCCTCTGTCATTTCTAGCTGCCTGTCAATCACCCCTGCAAAGCCTGCCTACCTGATTCTCCCTGATCACAGTAATCAGTGTTGATGCTCTACACCTGGTGCCAGCCCTATATAAACTCAGCTCTTGCCTCTGCAAGGTGCCAGATTATTGAAAGCCTCACAGCCAGTAAATTATCCAGCATTTTCTTATTCCTAGTTTCTTCGTTTTTGACCACAGCTTCACTCTTGACTCCTCGCTTTGACTTTGCCTGTCTGGATACCACACTCTCGGCCTACACGGTACAACCTGGCTCTCCTCTTCGACCACGACTACGGATCATCCTTTTGCCTGTTCACACTGCTCCTGGCTCTAGACCCCTGCTACGCCCCTGGATTCTGTTTCCTGCCCAGCCCTCCAACGTTCTTTCTCAGCCCTGCTCCTGCCACAGAAGGTTAGTGATGTGCACACCACCTCTCTCAGCTCCCAGAACCTTTTTTGCAGTCACTAACCAATCTGTCTTCATAGATTGGACCAGAACCGAGGCTCGGATCCTCCCCAGACGAACGCCTTTAATACATAAAACCTTTTTTTTTTTTTTTTTTTTTTTTTTAAATATTGTCCTAAGTCAGGTGTTGTGCTGATCCATACAGACTTGTTACAATACAGGTCAGAATCTATAACTAATCTGACACTTTGTCATGCTGTGGCTAAGAAAAGTTGTTAGAAGGGTGGTTGTTTGCAACTATATTCATTATAGATGTCCCAGAAATCATTTTATAATGTAATAGTTCAAATTTAACAACAGTTTAAAACTAGTAAAATGATGGCTTGCAAGGTGAAATATTTTACTAAACAAGAAAGATCAACGACCAGTCTTAATTGCACTGTGCTTGTTTTAGGGTAAATGGTACATGGACTGTACTTGCAGTATATAGTGCTTTTCTATCTTATCAAGATACTCAAAGTGCTTTACAACACAATCTGTGGCCTTATTTCCCAATTCATACAGCACTTTACTATATCTTTGCAATAAACAATCAATGCTTTATCACATTCATACACTGATGGGACACACATCAGGGGCAATGAGGGGTTCAGTGTCTTGCCCAGGGACACTTTGGCATGTGACTACTGGTGGAATCGAACCCCCAGCTATTGTATTGGGAGGACGACTGCTCTAACCACTCAGCCACAGCCGCATGCTAAGAGAAAGAATAAACCTTATGTGATTTGACAATATTTGTTGGAAGTCCATTCATTCAACTTTTATTTTTACAGGTTAGTATCATTGAGCCACGAGGACTCATTTACAAGAGAGACCTGTAGAGACCTCAGAAATCCCACCCAGGCCTCCAGTTATGCCCCCACCCCACCGAGAGCTTCGAGTAGGGAGAGTATTATGTAGACAATGGGCCCATTGTTCCTGTCAAGGCCCAAGTTTAGGCTTAGTAGTTGGGGTTAAGTTTAGGGTCAATGGGTGGGGTTATGGTCAGAGTTTGGTTTAAAGACAAGGTTCAGAGGGTTAAGTTTAGAGAAAGGGGTCCTGGGTTAGGTTTAGTGTCAAGGGTCAGTGGGTTAGGTATAGGTCAAAGGGTTCTGGGTTAGGTTTAGGGTATGGTTTGATTTAAGGTCAGGGTGTTAGGTTTGGGCAACGGGGTCCTGGGTTAAATTTAGGGTCAGAAAATTAAAGGTCACAGTCTCCAAAAAAAACAACAACCAAAAAACAAAACTGGAAATAAAATTGCATCAGTGATCTGCATAAAACATACCCCATTAAACTCTTAATGTCCTCTAAGAGGCCATAGCTGCTTTGTTGAACAAAAAGGTGTATTTCAGTGTTAGGCAGGTGTTAAACAAGGTTATGGCTGATAAATGAGAGGCTCACCTTGGGAATGTAACAGTAGATAACGCCATGTTTTTCATCCACAATGAAGTTCTTAAATGCTGAAGGACTTAAGTCTTCCCAGCTCCGAGGACCCTTAAAATTCTCCTGCTTGTATCTTCGACATTGTTCTTGTTGCAGCTGCTTTCTAAAATTCTGCAGCTGACGGAGCCTTTCTGCAATGAAAATAAATTCAAACAAAAAACAAAAGTAGGATCCACTCTGAGAAGGTGCTATTTAAGAGACTGAGCTGAAAACAGCACCTCAGACTGAAGAAGTCTCTCGGACGAGAGACGAAACGTTTCTACATTTTTTGTTTTGCTTTGTTTTGGGTTTTTTGAATGTCCAGAGGACCAGATTTAACTTTTTTAGATTTTTCTACCTGGATTATTGAGCATGCATCAGGATACTATTGCTTAAAGTGAAAATAAAAAAATGGATAGTTTAGAATGTGTTAAAAGTTAATTTGGAAATTTCCCAAACGTGAACAAAGGTGCACTGGTTAGTTGAGACTAAAATCTAACTTCTGAGCCATCAAGGACAAATTTAACAACTCTGATCATGCTGAGAACATCCCTGCTGTAAAGCATGGTGATGGCATCATTATACTGAGGATCTGAGTCAGGGAAATGAGCTAGAAATATAGAGTGGAATAAAATATAGATATTGGTTTTCTAGGCTTTTTTTTTCATAGGTTTTATTTCTTGTTTTGTCATTTGGTAATATGTACTCCATCTTTAAAATGGTATTCATACATCCTGAATGAAAAGGTAACACCCTGTCACCATCATACACATTTCTTCTAAATTTCAAGTTTTAAGGCAGTGGGTGGGATTTTTTATTTTTTGCATCCTACTACAAAGCAATTCTCAAAGAAAAGAGATACTCTGGAGGAAGAAATGTAAACAAATCATACCTTCCTTTATGCGAGACGTGTTCCATTCGAAAGATAAAGGCAAGATGAAACAGAACGATGCCAGAAGTCCAAAAAACAATATGATTTTTTTGTAGATCGCCATGGTGTTTGATGTGGATCAGTGCAACAGCCAAGGATACTAGAAACATAAAATACACTAAAAAGTAAAAAATCCTCTAAGAAGAGAAGAAACTAGCTGTTTTATTGTTCTAATTATAAGTATTGGAACTTGTCAAGGGCAGCACAGTGGCACAACTGGTAGAGCTGCTGCCTCTCAGCGAGCAGGTCCTTGGTTCAAACCCCGGTCCATGGGCCTTTCTGGGTGGAGTTTGCATGTTCTCTCCGTGCATGCGTGGGTTTTCTCCGGGTGCTCTGGTTTCCTCCTACATACCAAAAACATGCATGTTAGGCTGATTGGTAACTCTAAATTGTCCCTAGGTGTGAGTAAGAGAGTGAATGGTTGTTTGTCTCGTTTGTCTCTATGTGGCCCTGTGATGGACTTGCGACCCGTCCAGGGTGTACCCCGCCCCTCGCACAGTGATTGCTGGACATGGGCACCAGTGACCCTCGTGACCCAAAATGGAATAAGCGGGTAAAGATAATGGATGGATGGATAGATCTTGTCAAATATAACAGGAAGAAGCCAGACAAAGAGCAAAACACCAATACAGTAGTCCCTCGCTACTTTGTGGTTTTTCAATGTAAGATTGGACATGACACACAATTGGCTGATTGATGGATGAGCTGCACGAGCGGCATGAATTGTTTATTTAAAATATATATTTTAAAAGATTTAGCACCTGCTGCTCCTGTGTGCGGCCCACAGGTGCAGGGAGAAGCCCCCTCCAGCATTTCGGCTCCGTGCTGCAGCGGCTTTGTGAAGGGTTAACCTTTTGCTGTCCAGCTGCAGCGACCAAATTTTGTCTTCCAACTTAAAATTCAAAGTATTTCACATTGTAGAATTGTCATAATCACAAAATATAAAAGTATTAAAAGTGATTTTTTTAATTACTTTAGAACATCTATGTTCAGTTGTTACAGTGTAATTGATCAAGAAGTACATTTCTGCTCTGTGCTGCTTCTGCTGCGTGAAGGGTTAACGCATTGCTGCCCTGCAGTGCTTCTCTTCTCTTGTACTACTATCTCTACTTGGCAGTTTTTCACTTATTGTGTGTGTGTGTGGAGGGGGGGGGGGGGGGGGGGGCTGGAACCTAACACCCACAATAAATGAGGGACTACTGTATTCAGCTTTTAATAAAAGCAAGGTAAGAATCCTGTAAATCCCCTGGGCAAGAGACCCAGTTTTAATAACAAATACATGAAAATACCATGTCAAACAATTAAATAAAACATCCATCCATCCATCCATTATCTTTACCTGCTTATTCCATTTTGGGTCACGGGGGTCGCCCGTGCCCATGTCCAGCAATCACTGTGCGAGGGGCGGGGGACACCCTGGACGGGTCGCAAGTCCATCACAGGGACACATAGAGACAAACGAGACAAACAACCATTCACTCTCTCACCTAGGGACAATTTTGAGTTACCAATCAGCCTAACATGCATGTTTTTGGTCTGTGGGAGGAAACTGATGTACCTGGAGAAAACCCACGCATGCACGGAGAGAACATGCAAACTCCACCCAGAAAGGCCCCTGGACCGGGGTTTGAACCAAGGACCTGCTCGCTGAGAGGCAGCAGCTCTACCAGTTGCGCCACCGTGCTGCCCTTAAATAAAACATTCATAATCAAATCCATCCATTCATCAGATGGGATTTGAACCAGCCACCGGCTTGCTGAGAGGCGGCAGCTATACCAACTGCCCCACCGTGTCGTTAATCATATAAAAAGATTAAATAACCACCAGGTAAACAATTTAGCTAAAAGGAAACGTGTATTTAATCACAACTGCCTGCAGCAAAAGCCACCAAATTCACCCCAAGATACAGTTATGATCCAGTGTCATGGGAGGACATATATTTTATACAGTTAGAGGAAACAATTTTTTAAAAAGTTACTATGTAGAAAATCTGAAAACTTACAGTTGACCTTTTGATCCAGCTCTTGAGCGTCTCGACGCTCCAAAAAAACAAACAAAAAAAACCTACAATTCTCCACAGAAGTTGACAATGTCCTCACAAAGGAAGCTGTGGAGTGTTTGAACGCACTGTCTGAAATTTATTTTGAATGCCTGTGAGCTTTTAATGTGGTCCATCAACTCTAAAACAAGTCTGATCAGTTGATAATCACTGAACGAAAAGCTTGAAGTGGAAACTCCCAACAATATCAAACAAAGAAACAGTTGTAACACAAAGGATGAAGCAAATGTTAGGTTGGGTTATGTGCATCACAATAAAACAATTACTAACTATGAATGTTTGTATAACCATTCAAAAAGTAATTATCAAGAAGAAAACATATTTAAGAATAATTATTTATAGCAAAAGTCACCAAAATCATTTCAAAGTCCAGTTTTGATTCTGATTCGTCATTTGTTTTTGACAAGTTGCTGTCAAGTTGTCACAAATGCAAAGTTTAAAATCTTAACTCGTAACTCAAGATTGAGAAGTTTCAAAAAGAAGTATAATCAAAGGATATTTCCCCAAGTGCTTGAATAAACATGAGGAAAAAAATCTGGTGCAGAAGATCTTAAAAACAGCAACAACAACAACATATGAATAAATAATCGACTCAATAGTAAAAAAAACATAAAAAATGAAGTCTATAAAATGTCTATAGATTCTAAAAGTAACAGAACGTTGAGTTCACTGTAATAAATTTGTCTTAAAATGTTCCTGTTCTGTCATGGTAGTTTGTCAAATCTAAAACCAGTCAAACCACTCTATGATTACTGAGTTAAAAGTACTTTATCAACAGACTGTTATGCCAGGGGTGGCACAAGCATGAAGAGTAGCCAAGACTCTTTAGCAGGGGATGTGGGGGGAAGGGGGCATTTTATTCCTTAAACTTGATAACTAAGGAAGATATCTTCTTGACAATTTCATAAACCATTTGCCAGGGCTAGTTAATTAAACTGCTCAGGGGGCCATAGTTACTGAAAACCAGGTATCTGGCAAATATATGTAAATAAACAGGAGTAAAATGAGCTGTCACTTTTTTAATTAATTTGTTTTGCTGCATTGAATCATCATCGCTAAAAAGGGAGAACAACATGTGATTAAAAAAAAAATTATATAAAAAAAATTGATGAAAAAGTCATGATTTCCAATTTGAAAGAATAAAATGGAAATAAACACATTAAGATTTAATACAAATAACATTTTTAACATGCCAAGTCTTATGCAGTTTCCTATTAAATAGAATAGAATAGAAAAAAAAACCCTATAGAATAACTGAACATGGGAGGCACGGTGGAGCAGTTGGCAGAGCTGTTGCCTCTCAGTGAGAAGGCCATCCGATCAAATCCCAGTCCGGGGGCCTTTCTGTGTGGAGTTTGCATGATCTCTCCGTGCATGCATGTTTTCTCCAGGTACTCCGATTTCCTCCCACAAACAAAAAAACATGCATGTTAGGTTGATTGGTAACTCTAAATAGAGTAAAGAAATGATGAAAGGATAATTATTTTATCCAAAAGTCCTTGTGAGGGACTGGAAACCTGTCCAGGATGTCCCCCAACTCTTGTACAATGACTGCTGGATATGAGCACCAGAGGCGCACATGACCTGAAAGTAAAGAAGTGGGTAAAGATAATGGATAGGTGGATTTTCAGGAAATGTTGAGGTTGTCACACACACAAAAAAAATATCCAATGTTTAATTTTGATGGTAATCTGGATCACCATCCGGATTCAGGAATCGTTAAAGGAGTCTTGTCTAACGGTGCACAAGATGTTACTGCGTGAGTGACCGCATGGTCTTTGCGGAAGTGTGTGCTGTCCGAGTGCTAAAGTTCAATTCAGTTCGATTCAATTCAGAAATATTTTATTAATCCCAAAGGTATATTAAATGTTGTAAGCCATCATCCTGGTTTCATGAAAGAGTTGATCTAGATGCTGATGGCTGTGAGCAGGAAGGACCTCTTGTAGCGCTCTTACAGAAGATCTGAATGAGCCACGATGGATTTTTTAAACACCAGAAACATCCAGATTGTTCCTCCATTTTTCTGATAAATCTAGTTGATTTGGATTAAAAAAATGAATTAACATAGTATAAAATATAGTGTTTTTACAAAAAACACACAAACCAATAGTTATATGTTCTCATTTATTCTAATTGTTCATCTTTCGATGCCTCAAGCAGTGACTTGCCAGCCGAGTGGGATGACACCTGGTGGCTAATCAGGTTTCAGGGTTGGCAAGTGCCGCCCTGACTACTCCTCTGGCTATGCCCTTGATGATCAAACTTACAACAGTAACAAAATACTTAATAGAAGTTATTTTAGGTCAAAGTAACAAACACGTTTCTTGCGTAACAAAACATTCCTCTGAGTTTTGCGTGACATCAATGAGCTCTGAGATAATCTGTATCATATGACCGTGGTTTTATGCAGTGCAGTAAAAGAACAGTTTTATTACCGAAACAGAGACTTCAAACAGACCTGAACATTGTTTTGGCTAATGTGGCAGGTTTTATAATAAGTGATAGAGAAATTTTAGGAAAGTTTGTGGGGAAATAAAAGATTGTTTTAAAAATGTATCCCAAGTACTTTAAACAGATTTGTTTGCACCTATAAAAACTATTTATTTTTGCAAAATAGTCAAGTTTAAAACAGTGTTACTAATTAAATCAGAGTAAGTACGTTATGGGTCTCCTGGGCAACGACGTTCAAGGCTCAAATTTAGACCAAGTTTAACAACCAAACCAAATGTACCAACAAAAAAATACTGTGGTGAACAGAAACACGAAAGATTTCCCATCAAACGTCATTACTTACAGCATAGCACAATATAATTACACATTATAATCACATAAATACAGCACAAGAAAATCACTTGGAAGAAAAGGCACCAAAAGTTTGGGTCCTGACACGGGGAGGACAAATAGCTGTCAAGTTGTCACAAACATTGGACAAAGTTTAAGATTAGTTTAAATCTTATTAACTCACTGCTGGAGAATGAGAAGACCGTCTCAATATATTTCACAAAAATCATCCAGAGAATGACTAAAAATGATCACTATTATAAAACAGTTAGTGATAGAGAATAATCCCACATTTCTTCCATTTTTTAATGAATAAACAGAACTCTTGGGGATGTTTGGGGCATTTTGTATCATACAGACTCTTATTTTTTAATAATTTTTTTGTTGTTGCCAGAGTTGAATTAGGACAGTAATTTCAAACCAAATAATTACACAATTATCTGTTAAACTTTACATTCATTCAACCTTTATTTACACAGGTTAATCCCATTGAGCCTCGGGGACTCATTTACAAAAGAGACCTGATTTCTTCACAAAGAGTGACGACAACAGTGGACAACAACGACAACAATAGACAGTCACAAAAGAGGCATACAAATTTAATTTTTTTTTACAAATCAAAACAAAATAGCAACAAAAAGGACAGTCAAAAGGAAAAGTAATGAAAAAAGAAAAGCAGCTAGATTATAAGGGAGTGTAGAAAACTAAAAACAGGATCATGTCTGCATTGGTTTTTGCCAGGAACTTAACAGATGTTTGAAGCCACTTAGAGAGGTCAAGGTTGAGAGCTTCAGATTTTTTTGCAAGATATTCCAGGAAACAGGAGCAGAGTAGGAGAAGGCCCTTTTGCCTATTTCAGTCCACACTGAGGGAACACTGCAGGTAATAATGTCCTGAGAGCGCACGCTGTAGCTGCACTCACGCAGAGACATAGGAGGAGATGTATGAAGGCAACAGACCAAGTAGTGATTTAAAGATGAATATAAACCAGTGGGAGAGTCTGCGTGAAGTTAATGATGTCCAGTTAACCAGTGAATCCAGGGTGCAGTGGTATCTTTGATGATGATGATGATTGACTGATGGGGGAGGGGATCCCATTTTATACAGAAATATTTTAAAATATTTTACCCAGTACCCCATGTGATCTCAAACTAAGAGTTGTAGGGGTACGGCTTACACTAGTAAATGAAAGGCAACCTTAACCTCAACCATCAAGTAGTTCACTTGGCCTTCTGTAGCCAAAAAGTCTAAAGTCTTGTTCATAAAGCTCATACAGCCTCCTCCTGTCCTCCAAAGACACCGTCCTGAACCAGCTCAGTACAGAATCAGGAGTGGTTGTGTTTTCATAAACTGGTGGAAAATGAATACTGTCCTCCAGTTTTAGCATCTTCAGCAACATTTGGGCGTCATCCTTAAGAGTTTCCTGATGACCAATAAAGTCATACCTGAAAAGAAAGCACAAACTTTTATACTTTGATTTGTTTTAATATGTCGAATAGTTTTATCTGAAGATCATGATGGACTCACTCTATGAGACAGGGGTGACACAGGCGGTACATCTGCCTCCAGTGAGGCTCAAAGGGTTCCTTCTTCTCTGTTTGTGGATCCACTAAATACTGAATGAAGTTGTAGAATGAGGGACGAATGCCCAACTTAAATGCCTCTTCCTCTGTTTTTGGTGGATCAGGCTGGTTGTCATAGAAACGCAAGATGTCTCTACCATACTCCTCATAGAAGTATGAATTGTTAAGTAGGAACTTGTCTCGGTAAGCAGAGATGAGACGAATAAATGGATCTCGAACAAACAGGAACTTGGTGTAATGTCTTAATTTCACCTGCAGAGCAAATAAACACACATCAGTTATCTATTTGTAACTTTCAGATCAAACTAATATAAGTGGCAGAACTGACCTTTATCTCCATTTTTGAAAAGGTATTCAGGAGGGTAAATTTGTTTCGGATGTGAACAGAGTCAGGATCTATTGAAAGAGGGTCAGGATATGGCTCACTCTGGTTCAGAACAATCATAACTCTTTTCCAGTTGGTACATGCCACCTGCAGAAAGATACAGGTCAGAATCTATAACTAATCTGCCACTTTGTCATGCTGTGGCTAAGAAAAGTGGTTAGAAGGGTGGTTGTTTTCAACTAATTCCATTGCCGATGCCCCTGAAATAAATTGATAATGTAGTGGTTCAAATTTAACAACAGGTTAAAACTAGTAAAATGATGGTCTTTAAAGTACAATATTTAACTAAAAATATTTAACTATTTACTGTGCCAAAGCAAAGTAGCTAGAAGACACAATGGTCCACATTATTTTAAATCAGTGTTCCCACCACTCCTTCCAATGTGTCCTAAAATCTTTTGACAGACCCCCTTCAAGGGTACAGTATATGTTTTTTTTTATCCAAAAGGATAAGATACATCACCTCCCTTATCCAATGTACATATGCTGGGGGTTTGGGTATTTTCAATTGTACAAAATTAGCCTACTGGCTAGAAGAGAGCCAAAGACAATCACTTCTCACATTTGCTGAAGGACATATCCACAGAGATAATCCCAAACAGTGAAAAGAGTGGTGATGGGTGAACAGTTTTTCCACATATCCCAAACAAGGAATCAAAAATAGATTGCCAAAAGTCTGCAGTTTGGGACAGGTCCAGAATGTGTGCAAGGGTGTAGCTGGAGTTTGTTTGCAGCAATTGCATGCGGGGTCCAGATCGGCTTTCATCTTGGACAGCTTGTCTTTGGACCAGTGCAGCCTGTGCCAGTGGTCCACATTTTTTAACACCAAGTCTACTTTCCACAGAATATTTCCCATCCAATCAACATGATCTGAAAAACACTTTAAACAATCATACAGATCCAAAGTGTTGTACACAGAAGAGAAAGTAAAACATAAAAGTAAAAATAATGAAAATACAGTACAAGAACAATAAAATCATATAAAAAAATCAGGTAAGAGCTGCAGGTGGACTACAGGAAGAAGATCAGCCCACCCCCCAACTCTCAACAGTACTAAGGTGGATACTATGGACTGCTACAAGTACCTGGGGGTCCACCTAGACAATAAATTGGACTGGACAGCTAACACCAATGCACTCTACAAGAAAGGGCAGAGTCACATTTTTCTTCTGAGGAGACTCAGGTCCTTTAACATCTACAGGACAGTGGTACAGATGTTTTACCATTTTGTGGTCTCCAGCATCTTCTTCTACGCTGTGGTGTGCTGGGGCCTCTAGGTGACGAAAGCTGATGCTGACATCATGAACTGCAGTCTCTGACAGAGGTGTCTGAGCAGAGGATGCTGAGGAAACTGCTCCAGATCCTTTACAATATATCACACCCCCTTCATGACACACTGGACTCTTAACACAGCACCTTCAGTTGTAGACTGAGACCACCGAGGTGCTCCACAGAACAACACAGGAAGTCCTTCCTATGAGCTGTGATGAACACACATGTTCCTCACTCCTTACTTTATTACCCACGGCCATGCCATGCATTTGCTTATGTGTGTGCAGGTGTGTATGTGTGTGTGCATACGGGTGCTTTGGTGTGCGTGTTTGTCCTTTGGCAAAGTATTTTATGAATGACTAGGTTTTGAAACTCAGAAACATCATTAACTCGCTTCTACAGCTCAGCCACCACATCTAATCAGACCTTGCCATGGTGGTACCTGAGATCATCTCTAATCCATACAATGACGTGACTTTGTCACACATGACATCATTTACAAGGTTTGATCACACTGCCTATAACTCTGTAATTTCTTGTCATAATGATAATGTACATCTTAGACTGAAACCTTGACATGCAACTTGCTTAAAAATTCTGACTCGTTGTGCTTTCTTATGTCCTCACAAAGCCCAGTTCCCTGTGTGTTCACATGTCAGCGACAATCATCCTAACCAAGTGTGGACATAGAAGGCAGTGAGAGTCCACTGGATTGCCCAGATGCACGAATTCAGGGCACTCGGCAAATAGTAGTCTATTGTGATGTTTATTAAAGACCAAGCAGTCCTGATTTTGCACTATAATATTGCAAAGACAACAGATTTGTGATGCATTGTGCAGTCAATCAACGAAAATAGTGGACTGCAATATATTAAGAAAGACCAGAAACCTGCTGATGTCTCAACTGCATGGTGTCTTTTTTAAAGCCAACAGGATGGGTCTGTTTAAACTGATATGGTGACATCTTTCGGATGCTCTACTCACAACCCACTGACTCTAAATGTACTCCGACAGCTGTTTTGGCAGCAAAAATGGGTCTTATTGACTGGTGCTGAAAATTTTAAGGTTGATTGATATGCAAGTGTCAGATGGTGTATACATCACCTTGGGAATGTAACAGTAGATGATGCCATGGTTATCATCAACAATGAAGTTGTCCAACTCTTTATCACTTATGTCTTCAAAACTGTGCTTCCCATCCAGAAATGTCTTTGCGTCTCCATGACATTGTTCATGAATCAGCTGCTTCCTTAGTTCCTGCAGCTGATAGAGCCTTCCAGCTATAATAATATAAGCGTTAACAACATTATTATCAATAAATTCAACAACAGTATTATCAACAGTAAAAATGACAATATTGACAATATCAACAACATTACCAATGGATACATGAAAACCAATATAAACAAAAACTAACAACATTAACAGCATTAACAACAACATTAACAATCACAACATTTACAACATCAACAATAGCCTTAATTACAGCATAATTAACAATGACAACGTTAAATAAACATCAACAAAAACATTGACAACAACATAATACCAACAACAACATTAAAACCAACATTTAAAACACTAACATTAACAACTACAACATTAAAAACAACATTAACTACAACATAATTAAAACATTGAAAACAAAATTTTAAACAATAACATTAACAACAACAACATAGAAAACAACGTTAATATTAACATTAAGATGAAGAACAACAACATTAACAGCAATATTTAAAACAACATTTTAAACAATATTAACAGCAACAATATTATTATGAACAACAATGACATTAACAACAGCATTAAAACAATATTTAAAACAACATTAACAGCAATATTAAGGTGAAGAACAACAACATTAAGATGAAGAACAACATTAAGATTAAGAACAACAACAACATTAACAGCAACATTAAGGTGAAGAATAATAACATTAAAAACAACATTTAAAACAAGATTAACAGCAACAACATTAACAACAGTACCATTGCAAACAACATTATCAAACACCACCACAACAACAATCGCATTAGTTAAACTGAAGGATCTGGGACAAGTTATAAAATTTTTGTTTCATGCAAAAGTTCAGAGCTTAACTAAAAAAGATAAACGGTGTACTGTATGGAACGTTAAAGGTAATCTATGATAATCTGAAAGCAGTCACGGGTGTGGTTTGATGCCTTTTATGTCCCAGTCATTTCAGTCAGTGAAGTGCAAAAGTGCAAACAAGAAAAAAATCCTTCTTGCAAACAGTAGAAGGATACACAGCAGGAACTGTAAGAACTGTAAACACATCATACCTTTCTTTTCTTTGGATATGTCCCTTTTGTAAGATAGAATCTGGATAGCAATAATTAATCCAAAAAGTCCAAAAGGCAGTAGGAATCCTTTGCGTGCCGCCATGGCATCTGAAGTGAAGCAACCAAAGCTAACAAACCAAAAAGATCCACTGAAAAAAAATAATAATAACAAAATCAAGTTATTTTCTTTTTACATATAAAACATGCCACAAAACATGCTAATAAAACCTGGAAAAGCGGTAAAGCAGCATTTAGTTAATTGTTTTATCCCTGTAAAATTAAAATATGACATGTAAAAAATAAAGCATGATTTGCCTACATGACCATTTTTTTTTAGCAGCCTGGTATCAAATCAAACTCAGTGGTTATTTTGCTCACCAGAATCCAAAGTTCACAGCAAGAAAGTGATATTCTTGTGCTTTACTGCTCTCTTCTCTATGAGTGCTGTTTAATGACAGGCACGAGTGCAAAGCCAAGAACTAAATAAACATGAATACTGAGTAAATATTGACTTTACAGCATCACCGTTTAGGCTGTACCATTCAGATACACCTCACTTCTGTGCTGTTAAATCAGAAAACAGCAGTTTGTCCATTTGTTCAGCTCTCATATAGAAGTTGTGTTAATATTTGTTGCTCTGTCTCTTTTGGCCTTCAGAATGTCAGTCCCAACCATTCTGTTGTGCGACAGTACATGTCTGCAACAAATTGTTTTGTACTTTAAACTTAAATATAAAATTCATATGCCTTTGTCTGTCTACTCTACACTGTGTAAAAATACTTTGTTCAGTGTTTTGAGATAATGATGAATAATGCACCTCCTTTTTTATCAGACTAGAACAAATACATCTCATGTTAGATATCTTATGGTACATGTTTAATCTAAATAGAGCAAGAATATGAAAGCAAGAGCCCACTTATCAAAGAGCACAGAGCACAATTCTTTTCTGGCATACACTACATTGCCAAAAGTATTTCCTCACCTGCCTTGACTCACATATGAGCTTAAGTGACATCCCATTCCTAATCCATAGGGTTCAATATGACGTTGGTCCACCCTTTGCAGCTAGAACAGCTTCAACTCTTCTGGGAAGGCTGTCCACAAGGCTTAGGAGTGTGTTTATGGGGATTTTTGATCATTCTTACAGAAGCGCATTTGTGACGTCACATACTGATGTTGGACAAGAAGGCTTTTAGTCTCCGCTCTAATTCATCTCAAATGTGTTCTATCGGGTTGAGGTCAGGACTCTGTGCAGGCCAGTCAAGTTCATCCACACCAGACTCTGCCATCCATGTCTTAATGGACCTTGCTTTGTGCACTGGTGCGCAGTCGTGTTGGAAGAGGAAGGGACCAGCTCCAAACTGTTCCAATAAAGTTGGGAGCATGGAATTGTCCAAAATCTCTTGGTATGCTGAAGTAGTTAGAGTTCCTTTCACTGGAACTAAGGGGCCAAGCCCAGCCAAGCCCCACACCTTAATCTCCCCTCCAAACTTTACGCTTGGCACAATGCAGTCAGACAAGTACCGTTCTCCTGGCAAGCAGCCAAACCCAGACTCGTCCATCAGATTACCAGATGGAGAAGGGCGATTTGTCACTCCAGAGAACGTGCCTCCACTGCTCTAGTCCAGTGTTGGCAAGCTTTACACCACTGCATCTGACGCTTTGCATTGCACTTGGTGATGTATGGTTTGGCTGCAGCTGCTCGACCATGGAAACCCATTCCATGAAGCTCTCTGTGCACTGTTCTTGAGCTAATCTGAAGGCCACATGAAGTTTGGAGGTCTGTCACGTAAACATGATTGTTAAATCATGTTTCTTCCAACTGAGGCGACTGTCTTAACTGAAGCCCATATTGTCCCAAAAGAACCTGGAGACAGTAATACATGCATTCATGACATCTAGGCTTGATTACTGCAATTCACTCCTGTTTGGTATCAGTCAGACCTCCATAGCACGACTACAACTGGTCCAGAATGCAGCAGCCCAATTTTTAACCAGTACAGGCAAAAGAGAGCACATTACACCAGTTTTGGCCTCACTGCACTGGTCACCTTCGAATCCAGTTCATAATACTCCTGTATGCCTACAAATCGCTGAACAGTTTCGCACCCCCACCCCCCCCCACCCCCCGATTTACTACAACCGTATGTCCTACCACATTCCCTAAGGTCAGCGGACCAGTTGCTCCTCACAGTTCCAGGAACTCGTCTTAAGCGCAGAGGGGACAGGGCCTTCTCTGTAGCAGGACCAAGACTTTGGAATGAGTTACCTCTGCTTGTCAGACAGGCCCCCTCCCTCTCGGTTTTCACGTCCCATTTAAAAACTCACTACTATTCAATAGCTTTCAACATCAGATGATCTGTGTTTTGAACCTGTACGCTCCACACTGGTTAGTCATCATTATCTGCATCGTTTTTATGTCTATATTTCTGATTTACCTCATTTTGTATTTTGCTTTGTGTGTTACCTGTTGTTCTGTCTGTACAGCACTTTGGTTGGCCTTGTAGCTGTTTTAAGTGCTCTATAAATAAAATGGTATGGTATGGTATGGTAGTGATTGACTCTGCAGAAAGTTGGCGACCTCTTCGCACTATGCGCTTCAGCATCCGCTGACACTGCTTCGTCAATTTATGTGGCCTACCACTTCGTGGCTGAGTTGCTGTCGTTCCCAAACACTTCCATTTTCTTCTAATTCAGCAGACAGTTGACTGTGGAATATTTAGGAGCGAGGACATTTCACGACTGGATTTGTTGCATCCTATCAGTTCCACGCTGGAATTCAATGAGCTCCCGAGAGCGACCCATTCTTTCACAAATGTTTGTAAAAACAGTCTGCATGCCTAGGTGCCTCATTTTATACACCTGTGGCCATGGAAGAGATTGGAACACTTGATTCTGATCATTTGGATGGGTAAGCAAATACTTTTGGCAAAGTAGTGTATTTTACTTGCTGTTTGTCATCACATGAACGAGCTATAAAACTGGATTGAACTTATTGTTTTTAAAAACTACCTCCACAGGCTGTGCGCGAAGCATCCTGTGTGATGTCTGTGTGTGTTTATTGCAATAAACTAATTCGAAGACCATTTTTGAAGACATCCTTAATTTCACCTGTTTCTGTGTTGAGACAACTTAAAGTAGGAAAATCCACAACACAAACCAATGGACTCTAACAAAGTTAATTTAGGTCCTCTGGACGGATGCAAAAAGTTTCATCTTTTAACCAATAGACTTTGTTGTTTTAGTGGCTCCTCCGATTGAAGAAATCCTTTGGGTGAAGGGGGAAATGTCTCAGAAAAAAAAAACAAAGAAAGAAAGAAATGGTCCAGATGACCTGACTGAACATTGTTGCTTGAAGGAGAAAATGTTCAGGATCAGAAAGTGATTCTTGTGATGCATTCTCTCAGCCGAACACGAGGAGGCAGTAATTCCACGTGACATTTTAAACATCTTAATCGCTTGCTTTTTATTTCAGCTCCTCCTGTTTTTGTTTAGTTTTCTTTAGACTAAAGGGATCCACATGATATCAGTGACGACATTTGTTTTATTTTTTTTGTGAACATAAACTCCAGTTAGAACTCAGGAGGAAGTTTCTCTCGAGTAAACTAAATATCAGGGAGGTTTATTAAATTGTATGTAGAGGACAGCTAATAGTAAAGACAAAGCTATTGTGAATCAAACAGTTTTATGTTTATAGTTTATTTATACTTCTTTATGTTTTAATCGCCCATTCTTGGTTGATTTGGGAATCCCCAAAAACAATGTACAGTCTAAAAAGTTAGCCCTGAAAATGAAACATTTTATAAATTCTATAGTGTCAAATATATTTAAAAAAGTGTTATTTTTGCTCTCCGCTGTAAGTATAAGTACGTTTAACAATGTTCAGTCAGGTCATCTGGACGTTTTTTTTTGTTGCTGAGACGTTTTGTCCTTCATCCAAAGGACTTCTTCAATCTGAGGAGCCACCAAACCAAACTGAATCACACAAACAGCTCACTCCCAGA